CCCACTAGCTATCTATTTTACGTTTGGTAGTGTATATATGTCCATGCCACTCTCTCACTTTGTCACAGCTTACCCTTCTCCCTCCCCATATCCTCAAGTCCATTCTCTAGTAGGTCTGTGTCTTTATTTCTGTCTTACCCCTAGGTTCTTCATGACATTTTTTTTCTTAAATTCCATATATATGTGTTAGCATACGGTATTTATCTTTCTCTCTTTACTTTTTAAGAGTTGCCATTAGATATTAATACCTCCCCCTTTTTTTAAATTTCATTTCCCGTCTTCAAGCAGTTTGGTTTGTGTGTGTGTGTGTTTTATCTGTCTATCTATTTATTTATTTATGGCTGTGTTGGGTCTTCGTTTCTGTGTGAGGGCTTTCTCTAGTTGCGGCGAGCGGGGTCCACTCTTCATCGCCGTGCGCGGGCCTCTCACTGTCGTGGCCTCTCTTGCTGCGGAGCACAGGCTCCAGAAGCGCAGGCTCAGTAGCTGTGGCTCATGGGCCCAGCCGCTCCACGGCATGTGGGATCCTCCCAGACCAGGGCCCGAACCCGTGTCCCCTGCACCGGCAGGCGGACTCTCAACCACTGCGCCACCAGGGAAGCCCTAAGCTATTAACTTCTGATTGGAGTATTTTCAGGGTTTGCATAGCAATATTGAACTCTTCTTCCATTACTGCAGAGAGATTTCTTTTTCCAATTCATAATCTTTAAAGCTTGGCAATAAGACCCTCAGTGCTGAAAAGACATTGGGACTGGGATACGCAGCAGATTGCCTGTGATTTCTCGGCAAGCATGTTTATGTGGCACAACTTAATGAACAAAGGAACTCATGTTTGTAATTTGGTTGGCATTTAGGGTGGAGTATTTGGTGACAGAAGGAGACTGGTATCCAAATCCACATGGTCCTGACCATTTAGTCAGGAACCCTTTATACATTTGGTTGTCACATAAAATAAAAAGACTAGAGTGGTTTACAGACAAGGTTAGAATGGAAGCTGTAATTCCCAGGGGTATTCCATGACTTTTGCCAGTGGTGTAGTGTCCAAACGCCTCCATTCTCCATGCGCTCCTGTCGACATGTGAGAGTGAAACAGATTGCAAAATAGCTGATATAGGAGGTCTGTTGTCTGGTTTTGGCAGCTATAAAGCTTATTTCTGTCACCTAACCAAAGTAAGTCCAGATTTTTGATCCACCCGTGTATAGTTTGTGGTTTGGGGCAGCTTGATCATGGGGGCAGCTGCAATATCCTGAATTGTACAAGGGCGACTTCTGAGACATCCGGGACATGTGGTGATTTGGCAGACATTTGTTCCCAAAATGGTGGTGCTAGAGTCATTTGCAATTTCCTTGAGAGGTTTAAAGATGTCACCTATGGAATCAAACCACAGAATTTGATTTGCCATATTGTCCTGGTATGTCACCCAAGAAAGGTCCAGTGTCATGTTTGCTTTTAATGCAAAGGGAAAAATTTTCACCTATTCATCTGGGTAAGGGACAGTCTGGGCTTCTACAGATTTTTTTCTGGGGCCCAAATGACTCACTAAAAGAAGATGCAGAGGGCTTCCCTGGTGGTACAGTGGTTGAGAGTCCGCCTGCCGATGCAGGGGACACGGGTTCGTGCCCCAGTCCGGGAAGATCCCTCATGCCGCGGAGCGGCTGGGCCCGTGAGCGATGGCCGCTGAGCCTGTGCATCCGGAGCCTGTGCTCCGCAACGGGAGAGGCCACAACAGTGAGAGGCCCGCGTATCACAAAAAAAAGAAGATGCAGAGTGATGATTTTCTTGTCACGGATATCATACCCTGCCGCTCATCCATCTTACGCACTTAGCCCACCACGTCCACATCAGCAGGAACCCAGACTCGTTCAGGCTCTTTTGCACTATCCAGATGTTGACATAATCAACACTCAGGCTGAGTTAGCGTGGCCAGGGTTTGGTAAATTAGCATAAGGGGGTAAGGGAGGGTTAGTAAGAACAAAACACAGGTTGAAAACGAGCCCAGAGTGGAGACTTAGAGGAGAAATAAGATAGAGACAAGTGCTCTCCAGCTAGCCTTCTAATAAATGATTAATAAATGCAGAGAAAGGATTTGTTAATAAGAAAAAGTGTTTTGTTTTGGTTTTTAATGTGTGTGTATAGGGAGTCTTAAAAGTGGGGAAAGGGAGATAGGTGAAAGTGAGGCTTCTTGATCTGTGATCTTGGGAAAAGCTGTCTACTTCATGATGCTGGCTGCTTCTGGGGCCTGGGAATTGGCCCTGGAAATCTTTAAAAGTCACCTGGGGGATCTGTCTCCCACTTTTCTTGAGAGGGATGTTCTGGGCCTATGTTGGCATGGCTTGCATGGATCCAGGAGGATTTTCCTTTTGACGACAGTGTAGGTGGTTGGCAGTACCTCATTAGGCCCTTCCCAGGGAGGTGACAGCACCTGTTTTCTTCTAAAGACCTTGATGTACGCTTGGTCTCCTGGTCGAAAGGATGGCGAGGCTTATCAGTTGATGGAAGCCAAGCCCCTTTTACCTTCTTCATGGACATTTGTTGTTGTATCTGGCTAGTCATATCATCAGGTTGTTCACCTAAATTCCCATAATCTTCACTTAACCCAGGAATGGAAGGTTTAGAAATGCCAATGGACATTGGGTATCCAAAGACCATTTTGAAAGGGGTCAGTCCATGTCTTCTATTTGGAGTATTCTGGATCTTTATAAGGGCCAAGGGCAAAGCTTCTGGCCATTTAAGTCCAGTTTCTTGACAGACCTTTCCTAAAGTTTTTTTATGTCTAGATTTTTTACGTTCCACTTTCCCTGAGGGTTAAGGATGATATGGGGTCTGAAATTGTAATGAGTACGCCGGAGTTTTTGCAAGCAAGTGCTTTATGTTGTAAAATGAGTTCCTTGATCTGATTCAATCCATAAAGGAATGCCAAAGTGAGGAATAACCTCAGTTATTAATGTCTTTACCACTGTTGTGGTTGAGGCACATCTAGTCCAATAGGATTCAGTCCATCCACGAAACATGTAGACAACAGCCAAACAGTGAGAATAGCCTAAAGCGGGAGGAAATCTATAAAATTCATTTGGAGTGCCACAAAGGGGAATGTGGGCCTTGGAGGATTTCTTGGGGTATCCCAGGTATTTCCCAGAAATTTGGGGAGATTTACAAGTAGTACACAGGGAAATACTTTGGTCAGAAATTTTATGGATGCCAGGGCAAAACCAATTGTCTTGTATTTCCTTAATTCTCCCCCATCTGCACATATATCCCACTTGATGGGATATAAGCCAAGAGGTTAAAGGAAAGGGTGCTATAGGAAGTCCATTTGGCCTGATGTATCCATCTGGTAATTGTTTAGCACCCTTTTGCACCCATTTGCCTCTTTCAGACTGCGGGGCATTTGCTTAACAGTTGATAAAATCAGTCAAGAATAAAAGTAAGTTTAAAAATTCGGTAGAGAAGGAACAAGGGTGTCCATTTTGAGCTGGATTTTAGCAACTCTGTCAGCCTGATCATTTCCTAAAGATACAGCATTTCCTTGGTATGTGCTGAACAATGAACAACAGCAGTTTTAGAAGGGAGGTGAATATCTTGTAATAAGGCAGCTGCTATATGGTCATTAGCAATAAGATTACCTGCAGAAGTTAAGAGGCCACGGGATCTGCAAATTGTGCCAACAGCAAGGCAGACTCCAACAGCACATCTGGAATCTGTAAATAGCGGCAGTTTTCCCTTCTGCTAAGGTACAAGCTCTAGTAAGAGCTATGAGCTCAGCAGCTAGGGCTGATTTTCCTGTGGCATCAGAATGAGCAGCAGGCGTCCCACGAGGGGAAACTGCAGCATAACCAGTTATGTTTCCCAAGAAACTTCATTGACGGGAGCCATCACAAAATAGAAGTCAGGCTGGGTTACCTAAAGGGGTGTCTGAGAGAACCTCTCGTGGCTTTGAGACCATTTCTACGGCTGCAAGGCAATCATGTGTGATACAGCGGGGCTGTCTATCAGGGAGGGGTAGTAAAGTGGCTGGATTCAAACGGTTACAACAATGTAAGATGATGAGAAAGTCAGCTCATAAGTGGCCTGTCACCGTGTAGAGAGTTGCTGTATCCTTTGAACTTGTAGAATAGCTGACACCGCCTGGGGAACATAGAGATGAACAGGGGAGCCTAACATGCACACTGGCTTTGTCAATCAAGGCGGCAGCTGCAGCCACTGCACAGAAGCATGGGGCACACCTAATGCCGCAGGAGCTAACTGGCATGAGAAACACGCTACAGGGATGTATCTTGAGAAGCAGAAGATTGTCCTAGAGTGCCTGCAGCAGTCCCATTATTTTCATGGCAGTATAGATGAACAGGTCTGTCAAAATTAGGTAAGCCAAGAATTTGGAATGTGGACAAAGCTAATATTAAAGCTTCAAAGGAGATTGATTAATGCCTCTGAAGGGCCAGGAAATAGGCTCTGTGTTGTGATCTAGGAGAAGAGCAGACAGAGGTTTAGCAAAGGCTGCAAAATTAGGAATCCATTGGCAGCAGTAGCCAGCTGCCTCCAAAAGTCCACGTAACTGTTTTTTTCATTTGGGAGAGGGGAATGGACAAAATCGACTTAACCCCATCACATTCACCATTGTGAATGAATTCTAGGTCGAGCGATGATGTTAACCAGATATTCTAACCACGGTGTGCTGATGTGACTCCAAAAAAAATGTTTTTAAAAAGTATTTGGCAAGACCTTTATTGAAATAAGAGATGTTTTTGTTTAACCACCAGAACCTCAGTAAAAATTGGGACTATTATTTCTGGAGATTCCAGAACTTCCTTTGGAAACATCCCCTAACTCAAAAGAAAGTCTGATGTAGCCTCGTAAAAATCCATGTTGCAATAGGTGCTGTGTCACTGAGAACCACCGAAAAGACAGGGTTAAGGGCACAAAACGAGCTGCAAACCATATATGGAGAAACCCTTTTCTTCACACTTGTGATGAACTCATGTTCTGCTTTCCGTTTTCTCAAAGCTGAAGTCGACTGTGCTTTGTAAAACCGGCTCACCAAGCCTCAGGACCTGCAGTGCCTCTGGATTCCAGCCTCCGGGTCTCCACGCCAGACAGTCTGAGCATGCGAGTCACACTTGCTGTGACAGCCTGGATGCTCTCTGTGGTCTCCAGTTCTTCCTCTCCAGCAAATACTTTGCCAGATATCGAAAATGAAGATTTCATCAAAGACTGTGTTCGAATGCACAACAAGTTCCGATCAGAAGTGACTCCAAAAGCCAGTGATATGCTATACATGGTAAGAAAAACATGAGTGCTTGTGGCAAAAGTCAGTCAAAAACAACTAATGTGGATTGATTTTGGTGGTGAATCCTTGGTAATCCTGACCAGTGCTCTCGCGGTGATGAAGGTGTGCTTTAAATTCACCACCTGCGATCAAAACGAACCCAGTTTCTCTCTGCCTACTCAATTCTTGTTATAAAGCAAGTATGTTTTACTTCTCTTTTTGGACACGTCCTTTGCACACGTCCTCAGGTGCAATTTATGTCTCTTTTTTGCCTGTTAATTTTTGTGAGGTTTTTTTGGTTTCGTTTTTTGTCTCTAAGTTGACTTTTTTTTGTTGCCGGCAGAGTACTGTCTCAGGGAGGCTGCAGGGCGTCTGGGGGAAAGGCTAGGATTTTGATTCAGTCAGGCTTGGGTTTGAATCCTAGGTCTGTGGCTTTGGCCTGGTTTTTAACCTTTCTGAGCTTCTTACGATAGGGGCTATTGTAGGTATGAAATTACAGAAAATATGTGAAACCAGCATGTTATTTTGCAACATAATAGACCTTCAGTGAAATGTTGTTCTGTGTCACTCACTTTGATTCTAAATTCCTCGAAACTAGATTATCATGTCTCCCACTAATGCTAGTCAAAACTTGAAGACCACAATATGATCCTCCACATATGGAGGACCTACATGTTCGTGGTCCTTCTCCATTCTGGACATCGTGCCTCACCTCCCATGCAAATTCCCACTTTGCTCACTGTGGTTACAGCGTTGGGTAACAGGCTCCATTCTTGACCCTCCTAGTGTTTCATATTTATTTCTGCAGACTTGGGACCCAGTACTAGCCCAAATTGCAAAAGCATGGGCAAGGAACTGTCAGTTTGCACACAACATACAGCTGAAGCTACCCCACAAGCTGCACCCAAATTTCACTTCACTGGGAGAAAACCTCTGGACTGGGTCTCTGTACCTCTTTTCTGTGTCTTCAGCCGTCACAGACTGGTACAACGAAATTCAATACTATGACTTCAAGACTCAGAAATGTGACAAGGTCTGTGGCCACTATACTCAGGTAAGTATCTGCCTTATATTTTCTGGAAGCCGTCATTTCAAGGGTGAGGAGAAAGCTGGAATCTGGTGTTAAGAAAAATATAGAGTAAGCTAGTGTCCCTGTAAATATGAGAGAGTAGGGGTTACAGGCTTACTTTAAAAATAAATAAATGGAGGGCTTCCCTGGTGGTGCAGTGGTTGCGAGTCCACCTGCTGATGCAGGGGACACGGGTTCGTGCTCCGGCCCGGGAAGATTCCACGTGCCGCGGAGCGGCTGGGCCCGTGAGCCATGGCCGCTGCGCCTGCGCGTCCGGAGCCTGTGCTCCGCAACAGGAGAGGCCACAGCAGTGAGAGGCCCGCGTACCGCAAAAAAAAAAAAAATAATAATAATAAATAAGTAAATGGAACAGACTCCAATACCAGAGGAGATAGTACTTGAAGAGTGTAGTTACATGGACATAGGTAAAATGTGAGGCCCACCAATCTGCACAGCCTTTGAATAATTTTGATCACACCTGTCTTCCCGTGGTATTTTGTGCCATTTGTGAGCAATCAAAGGACCTTATGAGTAAATGGATTTATTCAAGGTACGAGTTCTCTAGGAAATTTGAGTCAATTGTTCTGGGACTATAAAACTGGGAGAAATAAGCCTCTCAGACAGAAGCATCAATAAGAATTGAAGGGGACTTCCCTGGTGGTCCCGTAGTAAAGACTCTGTGCTTCCGCTGCAGGGGGGCATGGGTTCGATCCCTGATCGGGGAAGATCCACATGCTGCGCAGTGTGGCCAAAAGAAAAACATTGTGGTAATAATAGCTGATGCTTCCATATCCTCTTAGCCTTTCAGACACGGACTAAGAATCTATGATGTGCCACATGAAGAGGAAAAAAAAGTCCCAGACCCGGTGGAGAGGTCAACATATAAATTTGTACAAATAATCCTGTAGCTACCTTGTACCCACATCTACAGTATTAGTGTCAGTAGCCACATTCAGAGCTTCTCGATGAGATTTTTTCTTTCTTTCTTTCTTTTTTTTTTTTTAATTCAAGCTGTTTTTGGCTTCCTAACTCTAACTCACATTTGCAACATGGTGGAAACAAATCCCTAGGAAAAGTCTTCTGTGATCTTCTTAATATACTGCCTCCCTATACTGGCCACATTTTATTTATTTTATTTCCTGGCGGTCCTTGTCAAACCCATAACTAAAGGTAGTGAACCTATGTTTGACTGGTTTTAATGTGGAAAAAAATTGTTGAAATGACGTCTGAGGGCAAAAGCATTCCTAACAAGCCAGTTAACTTGGAATATTAGGTGTTTTTAAAGAGCAAAATGTTGGTAGAAAAACTCAATATAGTTCAGCCTTATAAAGATACTGACCTCACTGGTGGTGTTATAGATGAAATACGTTTGGCACAGTTATAGGAAATTGTTATGATGAGAGGGAAAGGGTTGATTTCAGTGAAATTTTCATCTTAAGGTTATTGTAATCAAGGAGGAGCTATGAAATCATCAGTAGTCTTGGTCCCTTTCTTGGAAATATAAGGTCTCCCCTAGACTTGCCCAATAGGCCGTCAATTTTGGTTTATATTAACAAACCAGAAAGTAAATTTCATTGGATTCCCACAAATCCTAAAGGGCAAGGAAGCTAAATCCAGAGTGCCTACAAGTGGTATCTGGTGCCATTATGCACTATGGTATTAATCTCCAGAAGTAATTGTCAGTCTGAAGGTGCTGACTCTCAGTGTTTAAGCTTCTCCCCTATTCTAGGCACTTTGTAAGGTACAGGTCATGTGTTTCAGTCCAGACTCCTGAAAAAACAGAGCCTGAGATAATAGCTTACGTGCTAAGATTTTACTTGGGAGTACAATCGCAGAGAAGTGAGAGGGAGGAGAAATGGCCTGTGGGGCAGGGAATGAGGGACACAGCTGGGAATGGCCCCTGACCCATAGGAGGTGACTTTTATTTGGAAGAGACGTGTGTAAGTGGATGTATTATAGCGTATAGCTATGCAGCTCGGAGAAACTGACAAGGTGCCATGGGAGCAATGGGGACAGAGCAACTGACCTGGCCAAAGGGAGGTATGGAGACACAGGACTTGTTCATACAGCAAGAGACATGTAAGTTGGTTCTTAAACTGAGTGAGAGTTTGTCAAATGAAAAGGAATGTAAAAAGAACTCCAGGCAAAATTAACAAGGTGTAGAAGATGTACAATGTGTACAAATGAACTTGGCATTTCAGAAGAATGGCAAGCAGCTTAACCCACCAAATACACAGTGATCCAAAGACTGTTAAATTGACAACAGTCTCCTAAACCCTGCAAGTTAAAAGACACTTCATGTCCATCATTCCAGGAAGTCAAAACAAGAGGAGGAAACTTCATTATATGTCATAGAGGCCTGAGATCTCAGAGATGGCCCTCCCCAAATTAACAGAGCTTACTTGTAAATCTTCCTCTTGCATCTAGGGGGAAAAAAAGAGGGCTAATATTTGGGACATAAGAAAACATTTCCTAAAATCCAGTTCCTTTCAGACAGGTAGCAGAGCCAAAGTGAGTGATCCTAACCTGTTCTCTTTAAGAGACCACTACAGTCTACCCCCCAACTCAAATGAGGGAGAGGATGTCCAGGGACCTCTGGGTCTGGGAAGAGACAGCACCAGCAACTACTTTTTAAGTGAATGTGGTACTTCGTTCTCTACATTTAAGATCTCATTCAGCTCTCACCACACACCTCTAAGAGATGCTATTATCCATAGATGAATAAACAGGCCCAGAGGGGTCAAGAAGTTGTTATCCCAGTGTCATTTAGCTAGTAAGAGGAAGAGTTGGGATTCAGATATAAGATATGTTGCTTATCTAGTAAAGTAGTAGTACTTAGTAGTCATTGAACAAAGTTTAGATTTCTTCCATGAGCTGTTTTTCCATCAATTGGAAGAAGGCTCTGACAGCTTGAAGACTTCTTGTTTTTATCCTTGCAAGAAATCTTGCTAGGAGGTCCAGGATTACTCAGTTGCCATTTTAAATTCATGCTGGAAATTACCTCAAGTGGATATTTATAACTTCCCACTTACCCTCATCTTAATTGTTAATAAAAAGCAAGCTATTTTCAGATTTTGGCCAATGAGCAGTGGTTTTACAGAGTAAAGACAGTAGATTCAGATGCATTATTTATTTTCTTTTTGGCTGCATTGGGTCTTCGTTGCTGTGCATGGGCTTTCTTTAGTTGCGGCGAGCGGGGGCTACTCTTCACTGCGGTGCACAGGCTTCTCATTTCAGTGGCTTCTCTTGTTGCAGAGCACGGCCTCCAGGTGTGTGAGCTTCAGTAGTTGCAGCACCCGGGCTCAGTAGTTGCGGCACGCGGGCCCTAGAGCGCACGGGCTTCAGTAGTCGGGGTGCGTGGGCTCAGTAGTTGGGGCGCACAGGCTTCAATAGTTGTGGCGTGCAGGCTCTAGCTGTGGTGCGCAGGCTATAGCTGTGGCGCACGGGCTTAGTTGCTCCGCGGCATGTGGGATCTTCCCAGGCCAGAAATCGAACCCATGTCCCCTGCATTGGCAGACGTATTCTTAACCACTGCACCACCAGGGAAGCCCCCAGGTGCATTATTACTTCATTAAAGTGTGATATTTCCTGACATGTTAACTCAACGCTTTAGTTCTGTCTTCACTAGAGATTTAAATTGTGGAAGAATTCTGGTGTATTAATATGGAAGATTATTTAGCTTAGATATTTTGTTGCCGACAGTTCATCTTTGTAAAGTTTGGGAATAGTTTGACTTAAAAAGCTGGGCGGTGGACTCCTCTGGTGGTCCAGTGGCTAAGACTCCACGCTCCCAATGCAGGGGACCATTTTAAATTCATGCTGGAAATTAACCTGCTCAGGGAACTAGATCCCATGTGCCGTGACTAAAAGATCCCGCGTGCCACAACTAAGACCCAGTGCAGCCAAATAACTAAATAAATATTTTTAAAAAATAGCTGGGTGGGCAGCAGCTCAGGTTTGATAGTGCTAAGAATGCCCACTAGATGGCACTATTGATCTCATTTCTTTTTATCCCCATCCGTTGAAATTTTTATTTTTACATCCTCCCAGAATGAACGGAAGTGTGCGATGTTTCAGTTTGTCTAGCTGACTTTGTACATGTTGCATATTACTGATAATGAGTCAGATGGACTCATACTGAGAATTGAAAGGGGAAGATGGTGTATAGGGGTTGTTAGCTAGAAGGAAGAGACATGCCTGACCCCACTGGGTTGGGTTCCCCAGATGCAATGTTTTTGTTAGGTATAGTTTCCTGATTCTGCTAAAAAGGAGAGCACTCTGGAAGCATCTTGCTTAGGGCATGGACTGTCCTCACAGCACTTTGTGGTCAAGTAGCATTAAGTTCCACCCCTCATCTAGGAAAAATTGGGGCAGTATGTATTTATTGATTTGTTATGAGGTTAAACATATTGCATGTAACATGCTGAACACTACCGGGCCACTAGGAAAATTCTCAGTGAGTAGCTCTTAATTTTTAAAAATTTTTGTTTACCATATGAAAAAATGAAAACATGCAACAGGAATCTGCCTGATTAAAAAAAAGTTTCAAAAGTTTTAAAGCAGAAGAAAATTAGTCATAAGAGAATAAAACATGAACATCTGCTGAGAGCTTGCTATGTTCCATAAGCTGTTCTAGTCACTTTCTTATTAGCCCATTTAGAATGTCAAAATAAGCCTGTGGAGTAGGTGGTGTTACCCTCACTTAATAGACGAGGAAGCTGAGGCCAAGGTCACACGGTGGCTGAGCTGAAATATAAACTTGGTCTTTGTAACCCCAGAGCCCACAGAGTTGAACCCAGAACCTGAATGCCCATGAAGCTATTAAAAAGAGGCCAACTTGAATGGATAAACTGATACATCCATGCAATAAATATTACTCGGCAATGAAAAGGAGAGTGACTAGTAATGAATTCAACAACATGAGTGAATCTCAAATGCTTATGCTTAGTGAAAGAAGCCAGATTGAAAAAGCTACATTTAAACTGATTCCATTTATATAACATTCTGGAAAAGGCGAAACCACAAGGACAGAAAATAGATTAGTGATTGCCAGGGGCTGGGGGTGGGAGCTGACCACAAAGGGGCACAAGGGAGCTTTTGGGGAAATGTTCTAGATATTGAATATGGTGGCGGCTGCGCAACTACATGCTTTTGTCAAAATTCATAACCTGAAAGGGATGGCCTCTATGTTAATTACAACCTGATTTAAACGGATGGCCTCTATGTTAATTACAACCTGATTTAAAGAGAGCCCAAGTAAAACACAAGATGAATGGTAGCTAACGTTTGCACTGTCTTGGAAAAAAGAGATCAGAAATGTAAAAGAAAGTAGAATAAAAGAAATAGCATAAAACATTAAGTGTGTGTGGGAGGAACCCAAAGATTAAGAGTACTTGAGACTTGAAATACAACACTGGAGGAAATTGCTCAGAGACCAGAGGATCGGAATATAAAATGATTGACTCAGGCGATCGTACTCCCAACATGGCCCGTTAGCATGCATAAGAATCACCTGAGGAACTTGTTAAACTAGAGAAACTTTCGCTGAATAATGTTCCAATATGTGTGTGTGTGCGCCTGTGTGTATGTGTGTGTATATAAATATACTACATTTTCCTTAAGGAAGTCCTGTCATTAGCGTGGATAGATCTACAGGTATTATGTTAAGTGAAGTAAGTCAGACACAGAGAGAGAAATACCATATGATCTCGTGTATGTGTGGAATCTTAAAAAAATAAAACGAACTCTTAGAAAACAGATTGGTGGTTGCCAGAGGTGGGGGATGAGTGCAATGGGTGAACGTGGTCAAAAGGTACAAACTTCCAGTTATAAGATAAATAAGTCCTGGGGATGTAATGTACAGCATGGTGACTAGAGTTAACAATACTGTATTATGTATTTGAAAATTGCTAAGAGTATATCTTAAAGTTCTCATCACAAGAAAAAACTTGTAACCATGTGTAGTGATAGGTGTTAACTAGCTATTGTGGTGGCCATTTTGCAATATATACAAATACTGAATCACTGATTCAGTATTGTACACCTGCAACTAATATAATTTTGTATGTCACTTATATCTCAATTTTTAAAAAATACAGATTTCAAGGACAATTCCAGTGACTCGTGCAGTAGGACTGAGATGGGCCCAGAAATCTGCATTTTAAACAAAGCACCCCAGAGGAAGTCACTTTGAGATGCAGTGAATAGAAATGAAGAAATTTAAAAATAAATACAAAAATGATTGGGAAATTAAAGTACAAGCATCAAACCTGAGAATGAATGGCCATAAAACCAGGTGCTCTCGGGGAGATAGAGGCCTGATTTACTTGGTTACCTGGAGTTCCCTGCAGGGGATTCCAGGGTGTGAGATGGGAAGGGAGACACCCCACGTCAACCAGGGAGGGCCGTCTTTCACCAAAGGAGAGCACTGATCCTCTGTGGGAGACCGGTACCTGCCTCCCCAGCTCCTCCCCTGTTGTCACACAAGGAGGAGGACAGAATGCAAAGTGTCCCAGCACCCCCACACCGACACTGCCCAGCCCTCCCTAGCTCCTCCCCCACCTCCTACAACATCCAGGAGCCTTGGAGGAGCTGCCTCCATCCTAACCCTCTTCCCCTACTCTACACTCTCTCCCCAGAGAGTTGTTCTTAATTGATTTTTTTTTTCTTTTTTTTTTTGAGTAAATTTAACCTTTTTCAGCAGACACAGCGGCCTTGTCTCAGTTCTGTGAGTCTTTTCCCACCTCGGGGTTGGTTCACACAGGTGTGCCCTCTGCTGGGAATCTTCTCTGGCCTCCCAGACCAGCTCACTTTCAGCTTCGGCCTCACTAACTCAGAGCAGGATCCCTGCTGTAAACTCCCTGAGCTCCCTCTGCTTCCCCTTCACAGAGCTCAAAACCGTAGCCTAATGGTTTCTTGACTGCTTTTCTCTACATTTTGTGAAGGCACCCACTGGCTCCAGCTCATTCATCTCCCTGTATTTGGTACAACTAGTCACAAAGTTGCTAAATATATATATATATATATATATATATATATATGTAAAAATAATTTAAAATTCTATTTTGTATCACTGTAAAAAGCAGTGCATTTAATTGCTGGCTTAAATCCACACTAGTTTTTTTTTTTTTTTGCGGTACGCAGGACTCTCACTGTTGTGGCCTCTCCCGTTGCGGAGCACAGGCTCCGGACACGCAGACTCAGCGGCCATGGCTCATGGGCCCAGCCGCTCCGTGGCATGTGGGATCCTCCCGGACTGGGGCACAAACCCGTGTCTCCTGCGTCGGCGGGCGGACTCCCAACAACTGCACCACCAGTGGAAGCCCCCACATACTAGATTTTTAAAATACTTTAAATACTTTTTTCTTCAGCCTTCTATTACAGCAAACAGTCTCAGTTAGGATGAGCTGTGTAATTTGTGTGGCCTAATGCAGAATGAAAACGTGGATCCCATTGTTCAAAAATCATGGGAAAAGTGCCACTGAAAGTGCTAAAATGCGTGACAGCACTGAATTAAACCAGGTATGGGGCCCTTCTGATCACGGGGTCCAGTGGGACAGCACATCCCTCTTCTGGAAGCTGGCCCTGTTCTTGCTTTCCCTCCTATGCCACTAGCCACTCCCTTTCAATGTTTTGCTGGCTGTTTTTCTTTTTTTCTTTATCCCATGCTCTCATTTAGTTGTTTACTATCTTTGCTTACAAGATCTAATCCATTCCCACGTCTTCCAGGTTTGTGTCTCGAGCCATGCTCTGCCCTCTGACCGGCAGATGGTCGTCTGACGGGCATCTCAAGAGTAGCAGGAACTGAACAGAACCCCTTGTCTGTGTTCCCACCCACTTCCTCCTTCCCTCATTTTCCCCGTCTCAGCAAATGTTGTTCAGACCCAAACATTAACTTGATTTTTCTCTCTCCCTCTTACCCCACCCTTAAACCAAAAGCAAATTCTTTCACCTTTACCCCTAAGCTGAACCGTGAACCTGGTCAATTCTTGGGAACCCCACTACCATCACCGAAGTGAGAGTCACCATCTGCTCTTTCCAGTACCAGTGAAGCAGTCTCCCGAATTCCCTCGCTCTTTTCACCCTTGTTCTTCTCAGTCCATCTAGTTTAACAGCCAAAGTGACCTTCCTAAGACCTGAAAAAGGGACTCTCCCTCCCTCCACTACAAGATTCCCCATGAGCTGCTCCTCTTTCTCTGACCTCATTGCCTGTGATTCTCCCCCACTCCTGGATCCCAGCTCCGCTTGCCTTTGTTTATTTAGTTTTGGCTGTGTTGGGTCTTCGTTGCTGCACGCGGGCTTTCTCTAGTTGTGGCGAGCAGGGGCTACTCTTCGTTGGGGTGCGCGGGCTTCTCCTTGCGGTGGCTTCTCTTGTTGCGGAGCACGGGCTCTAGGCGCGCGGGCTTCAGTAGTTGTGGCTCACAGGCTCTAGGCGTGCGGGCTTCAGTAGTCGTGGCATGTGGGCTCAGTAGTTGTGGCTCACAGGCTCTAGGTGCACGGGCTTCAGTAGTTGTGGCACACGGGCTCTGTAGTTGTGGCTCGCGGGCTCTAGCGTGCAGGCTCAGTAGTTGCGGTGCACCGGCTTAGTTGCTCCACGGCATGTGGGATCTTCCCCGACCAGGGCTCGAACCCAGGTCCTCTACATTGGCAGGCGGATCCTTAACCACTGCGCCACCAGGGAAGGCCCTCTGCTTGCCTTCTTTCTGCCACTCTTGCACGCCAGCAGACCCCACGCCAGGGCCTTTGCCCCAAGGGCTCCCTCTGCACGGATGCTCTTCCTCCATCAGTTGGTCTCCTGCACGTTTTGAGCACTGCCTCTTCATCATTCAGGCCTCACCTCAAATGCCGCCTCCACACTCGAGACGCCTTCCCTGCACACCCAAGTGAAAGCAGCCCTCTTTCTCCCCAGCAGCCACTCTCTATCCTGTTAGCCTGTTTTATTTCTTCATTGCACTAGCTGTCAAAATTAGCTTAGTTATTATTTATGTTTATTATACACACACACACACAATTTCCAACCAAATTCTGACTACCTAAAACTTCCCTGGCGGTAGCTGCTTTACCTAAGTAGAGTTAATATGCCTGTGTTTAGGAAGGCCTAATCATACCCGTGTTCATTTTAGGGTCTCTCTCCTTAACAATCCGTATTTTCTTTCAGGTTGTTTGGGCAGATAGTCACAAAGTTGGCTGTGCAGTACAGTTTTGTTCTCGAGTTGCTGGCTTTGAAAGTCTTCGCAATGGAGCACATTTTATATGCAACTACGGACCAGGGTAAGTGCCCAAATTAACCTCTTTCTGGGAAAAGAAAAAAAAAAACTATTTTAAAATTATTTATCTTCATTATAGAAAATAAATCTGGGTAATAAAAAAAAGTGTAAAAGAGAAAATTAACGTTACCCTTAATTCCTCTGCCCAGAGATTTACTCCATTTACACTGATACCTTTTTCTTTGTATGTGCGTTTGTGTTTGTGTGTGTCTGTGTGTACACCTTTATAAACACTACATAAACACACACACACGAACACATTTTTAAGAGTAGGAAAACTAAAATGTTTTCAGGGACGTAGATTAATTGGATATTGTAATAACACCACAAGATGGGAAGATTAATATTCCATTTAATATTTATTAACTTATTAAAAACTTTTCAAAGCAGAACAAAAACCCACTCTGAATTGAATTTCTCAATTTATATAACTTATTTCATTTACTTTTGACAGTTTTGTTTTTGAAACAGACATCATTTTTCTCCCTTTGGAAAATGGGAAGACACATGACATTCTCCTCCAACTTCCTTTAAGCTTATATATGTGTGCTTATGCATCGTACACATACTTAGAAAACTGAGATGATGGAAATACACGTTTTCTTTTTTTTTTTTTTTGCGGTACACGGGCCTCTCACTGTTGTGGCCTCTCTCATTGCGGAGCACAGGCTCTGGACGCGCAGGCTCAGTGGCCATGGCTCACGGGTCCAGCTGCTCCGCGGCATGTGGGATCTTCCCGGACTGGGGCACGAACCCGTGTCCCCTGCATCGGCAGGCAGACTCTTAACCACTGCGCCACCAGGGAAGCCCCACGTTTTCTATTTTTTACTTAAAATTACATATGAGCATTTTCCATGGCACTGAAGTTTTAAACAGATTACAATAATTAAAAACAATGCCATAACATTTGTATAAAGCTTACTATGTACTAAGCACAGTTCTAAGTGCTTCGCATATATTAAACTTATTTAATCTTCATAAAAAGTCTAAGTTCTACTATTACCCCTGTTTTGCAGATAAGACAACTGAGGCCCTGACAGGCAACCAAGGAAACTAAAACTTCCTACTTCTTTATTGGGCAGAATACTTTAGGTCCCTTTGTTTTTCTGTGTTTTTATTTTATTGAAGTATAGTTGATTTACAGTGTTGTATTAGTTTCTGGTGTACAGCAAAGTGATTCAGCTATACACGTATGTAATAGTTTGCATCTGCTAATCCCAAACTCCCACTCCATCCCTCCCTGACATCCCCACCGGCTCTTGGCAACCACAAGTCTGTTCTCTTTGAGTCTGTTTCTGTTTTGTAGGTAAGTTTGTGTCATATTTTAGATTCCAAATACAAGTGATAGTATATGGTATTTGTCTTTCTCTTTCTGACTTACTTGACTTACTTTGATAATCTCTAGGTCCCTCCATGTTGCTGCAAATGGCATTATTTCATTCTTTTATGGCTGAGAAGTATTCCATATATATATATATATATATATATATATATATATATATATATACACACCACATCTTCCATCTTCTTTATCCATTCATCATAGATGGACATTTAGGTTGTTTCCATGTCCTGGCTATTGTATATAGTGCTGCAGTGAACACTGGGGTGCATGTATCTTTTCGAATTATAGTTCTGTCCAGATATATGCCCAGGAGTGGGATTGCTGGATAATATAGCAACTCTATTTTTAGTTTTTTGAGTACCCTCCATACTGTTTTCCATAGTGGCTGCACCAATTTACATTCCCAGTGAGGGAGTGTAAACCCTCACTGTTGGAGGGTTCCCCTTCCTCCACACCCTGTCCAGCATTTATTACTTGTAGACTTTTTAATGATGGCCATTCTGACTGGTGTGAGGTGGTACCTCATTGCAGTTCTGGTTTGCATTTCTCTAATCATTAGTGATCTTGAGCATCTTTTCATGTGCCTGTTGGCCATCTCCATGTGTTCTTTGGAGAAATGTCAATTTAGATCTTCTGCCCATTTTTTTGGGTTTTTTTGTTGTTGCTGTTATTGAGTTGTATGAACTTCCCTTCGTCGGTTGCATCATTTGCAAATATTTTCTCCCAGTCCATAGTTTGTTTTTTCGTTTGTCTATGATCTCCTTTGCTGCGCAAAAGCTTGTAAGTTTGATTAGGTCTCATTTATTTTTGCTTTATTTCTATTACCTTGGGAGACTGTAGATATCTTTGTCCTAATCATTCCTATCTAGACAAGTCAGGCCTTTCCAGTAGCATGTTTCTCCCAAGATGAAATCTATTTCCCTAGAAGTCACAACTGCCTTGTTTTTAGCTTGTTTTTAAAGTAGCAATTTTCCCCTCTTCTTTAAAGTATGGAATGCACAATTAAAGTATGAAGCAGCATAAATGACTGCATCAAAAACATTCTAGAATTTAACGACTCAATGAGTACTGTGCTTTTTAACAATGAAAGATACTCCAATGATTAATGTCCATTTTGGATATCTTTTATAATTATCAGAATCTCTACTATATTCCTTTGACTATTTCCCACAGGGTAACATAAGCATAAGGGTAAATTTGAGACAACCTAAATTAATTTGGAGCCAAATGATATTTGAACATATCTTTTTAGTTGGAAATGAGGTTTTAATAAAAAGTAATGTCTCAACTCTGAAGATGAATGCATAGTATTAAGGGAGAGGAGCCCATGAACTTGGATTAGAAAAAAGTTACATCTTTTTCAGTAACTTCTATTGAAAGTAACGCTTCTTTATGAAGATAACACTCCAATCATTATCAGCAACAGCTATGACCGTACTGCACTACCTGTATCTGTATCACAGATATGTTCATATCACTTTCTAGTTGCTGCATCTCTCTCAAAATGGTTTTTATCACTACCTTGAAATTACTGTATTAGACTCCCTGCTAGCTCTTACCTAATACTTAATAGAGAAGTACATATTAGTATATCACAAATATTTTTAACATGTTAATAACTATTTCAACTTGTTTCCTTTATAATCCTATGAACTTTATTTTAGGTATTTTTAAACTATTTTGAGAAAGAGCCCATACGCTCCACCAGGCTGCCAGAGGGTACATGACATGAAAAAGTTAAGAACTCCTTTCCAAAAAAGATTAGAGCAATGGCAGGCTCACTGAAATAAATGTACAGCCTTTCGTCATTACTACTCCAGAGATATTCATGGGGATATAAAATGTTTGGCTATTATTTCATTTTCTAATCTGTGATCTTGGTCGATTACTTACACTCTGTGCCTCAGCCTCTAGCTATGGGGATTAAAAAAATTATAGTATCTTCCTCATGGGGTTATTGTGAAGACTGATTCATTCGAGGATACTTAGAACAGTGCCTAGTACACGAAGAGTATTCAGTAATATCTATTATTCATATCACATCTTTTATGTGAAAACAAACTGCATTTTAGAAACTCCCCCATATTTCTTGTTATATTCTTTTTTTTTTTTTGTGGTACACGGGCTTCTCACTGTTGTGGCCTCTCCCGTTGTGGAGCACAGGCTCTGGACGCACAGGCTCAGCGGACATGGCTCACAGGCCCAGCCGCTCCGCAGCATGTTGGATCTTCCCTGACCAGGGCACGAACCCGTGTCCCCTGCATCGGCAGGCAGACTCTCAACCACTGCGCCACCAGGGAAGCCCTCTTGTTATATTCTTTTGGAAAGCCCTTTCCCCAGCCAAATGGCTCCCATCCAATAAAAACTATGGAGGTTTGCTAGACTGAGAACAAAAATGTGGGTCATGATGGCTTTTCTAAGATGGACAGTTTTTTGGATGGCAGTGATCACATAGGCAAGTAGAGGGAGTACTGCTCTGAAATCAGACAAATCTAGGTTTTGTTCTGACTCTGACATGTGTACCTTGTGATTTTTGGCAAGTTACTTTATTTTTTAGAGGTTTAGTTTCCTTATCTGTAAAATAGAAATAAAAATAACTTCTTCCCCAAGTTGTCTTAAGAATTAACTGAGATGATTAAGACATAGGTTCCTAAACACAGGCACCTAGTATGAACTCTGCAAATATTAGCAGGCTTCCATTTCTGCTTCCCCCTCTCCTCTTCTCTTACCAACCCTCTGAATCTGCAGACTTCCATCCTAGGATTTAGCCAAGGACCATAATAAATTGCAATTGGAAAAAAAAAAAAAAAGAAACCAAAAACTCTCCTAATGGACAGTTTTCCTCTACTTCACAGAGGCAATTACCCAACCCGGCCATATAAAAAAGGATCCACATGCAGTGCCTGCCCCAGTAACGACAACTGTCTGGACAATCTCTGTGGTGAGTAAAAGGAGCAATCTACCAATAATACAATGTGTTCAAAACTCTTGTAACTTTCTACAGAGCTAAGAATGCAAACATTTGTTTTATCCTAACAGCTATTTTCAGGGAAAGTGGCATCAGGGTAGCAATCAAACCAGTGGCTTACTGTCCTGGGAATGAATATATGGTTCAAGAGAAATTTAAAGAAGCAAATAATATTCTTTAGTTAGCGCTAATCAGAAAAACAACAAACGACTCTGATGCTGGGAAACTGTAGACCCAAGATTTGCTAATTTCAGCCAGATCAAAAATTTGTATAACAAAGTTAACCAAAAGAATTCTGAATTGTGTGATACTACCTGTCCAAGCACTCAAGACTTGCATTTTCATCTTTAGAATCAGATAAATGAAATAAAGCTGCAACGTGGCACTTTTTACTAGTTAGACAGCATTTAATGAGGAACAGTGTAGGCCAATGAAGCTACGTTTCCAAGGATGTTTTACATAACTTTGAAATATTAATACACAATTGGCCAAGAGTCTATTTTTGGTTCCTGTCCCAGACACATTCCTTTCCATCTCAGTATGTTTTTTCTTTACTTTTTGCCATGGTGTGAAGGAAAACTTCAATCAAGCTACTGCAGTTGTGCAAATCCTCTAGGACTTTTGTGTCCAGATCTGTAACCAACTGAACCCCTCAGGGCTGCAGGGCTGGGGCGGGGTGCTAGGAGCAGAAGGAGGGTAGAGTAGACTGAGTTTAACTGCATAAATTTTTGTTTGGCCAAAGTGTTGCATTGCTTACACGTTTCCTAAGGTCCTTTCTGGGTTTAAAATTATAAAATTCTTTTCAACTGCTTTTCCCTTCCTCCTGATTTGTAAACACTGAGTTCTCATTTTTACTCCAGCTACAGAGACGCTTTTTCTACCAGCTTTCTGAGCCAGTCATTTCTCTCCAGTTCAACCATTCTTTCCCTCATAATTAGTTTTGTTTAGAGAACTCACTAACATGTAGCCATAGTGCAACAAATCCCTTCTCAGAGCACCAATGTTAACTGAATTTTTCATGTTACTCCAACACTACGAAAGCATGTCTTTTTTTTTTTTCCAACTTAGGCAGTATGACATAAGAGTTAAAACCACAGATTTTAGAGTTCAATTTCCAGTTCCACCATTGTGACGCTGGGCAAGTGTCTGGACCTGTTTCCTCATTAATGAAATGTAGACGGTGGCACCTCTTCACAGGTTTCGTGAAACGAATGAAAAAAAATTATATCTAGACCAAGTGCCTGGCATACAGTATCACTCAGTAAATATTATCTATTATCCCCAAATTCATCCTTCCTGTAATCTCAGATCTTGAGTTTACTCTTGGTATTTTGGTGTCTTCTTTGTGCCCAAGTTTTAGATGATATGTTTTTATGCTCATGAACAAGACTCACTCATGCTTCTTTAGAATCTGTGATGAAAACTGAGACAATAATTTTAAATTATGTAAAAAGTAATTTAACTGTTGCCACTGGTTAGCTGTCTTTCCCACTAGACTCTGAATTCCAAACAGGCAGGAATTATGCCTATCTAATTCAACTTTGTAACCAAAGTGCCTAGTCTAGAAGGCAAATAATTGCTAATTTGCATATTTCCTTAAAAAAATCATTCTCTATAAAAATCTAGACAGTAACACCACCACCAGCACAATGATAACAAGAAGAAAACTGCTGGAGTTTTAGCTTTTAATCTTAGAGATCTAGCCTGAAATGGTCTCTAACCTTGTGGGATAAAATTCAGAAAATTAAGGCTGTAGTCCAATAAGGAAAAGCCCCTGGGCTCTTGAGAGAGACAAAGGAAAACACACGCTAATTTGCAGGGGGGTAAGAGTTAGAGGATAAAAGCTTTTATTTATCAGATTTCGTCTCTGACAAATTGTGGCAGACACTGGAGGAAAAAAATCCCTTTGTGGTCTTCTAGATACTGGTAGGTTCAATAAATACCAATGGAGGCCAAATCAGGACGGTTTTGCAAAATGTGCTGGGCACACCAATGGTACACAAGCTGATTTTAGCTAGTGCATGGATGACATTTGTTTCAATGTTCAAAAGTTGAATGTTTAACATTTTAAAAATATATATGTAAGAAAAAATATAACTAGCAAGCATATCATACCTTGATTTCATGGATATAACTGCCAGGAAAAGTTAAAGAAGCGGAAGCTTCGTCGCAATTCACCACAGCAAAGCCCAGTCAGGTCACAGGTATGATGACCAGGGATGCTCAGGAGTACCAGAGGGTCAGCTCCTTGATGGATTCCACCATAGGAATGCAACAGCAGCTGGCATAGAACCAGTGTAAAAGAGGTGTCTGACCATTTAAAAAGTATAAGAAGGCTATGGCAGATGTGGAATTCTCTTCCCAGTGCTCTGAATGTCAAAATCTTAATAAAGCTCAGTGGAAGGAGAGGAGTAAATATGACTTTGATATCCAAATACCCTACTTATATACTAGTGACAGACTGGAATGTATGAGAGAGGCCACTGTCTCTTCATTACTGACCATAGATAGTATCATTCTTCTCAGGAGAAACTTTCAGGAAAATATTTTAATAAATTGCTCACACTGATTATTACTAATACTTATTTTTAATTGTTTTACTTTAATTGCATTTATCTTATCTGCCAGTGACATTATGTAAAATGATTTTCCATTTATAGTAGTGGTATATAAAAAGTTTATACATAAAGGTTATGTAAACAAGTTGATTGCAACGGTGATTGCAACAGTCAAGGGTTATAATTAAGAGACTTGGCTTTTAAAAAGAAAACAAAAGCCTCACCAGTATCTATTCTTTTAATTCTTTTCTTTCTTATTTTATAGCTAACCCACAACGAGACAAAGTGACACGTATGTATATAAACCTTAAATTGTATAAGATCTATCTGAGCTATGTTACTGCATTATGAGGAATAACATTTAAGAGGATATTTTATGTTTGTTTCACAGGTTACTACTCTGTTGTGTTTCCAGACTGGCCAATATTTCCACGTAACAGATACACATCTCTTTTCCTCATTGTTACTCCACCAATCCTAATACTGAGTGTTATAATTATCAGTTTGGTCAAGCACAAATACCCTCATTTAGTTCTTCTGAACTAATACAATCCAGGGGGGAAAAAAAGCCTCATTCGTACATGGCTTTAAAAAATAAATTAAAATTGGGTGTTATTTCTAATTTGCAGCAAACCCTTACTCAAAAGAAGAAATGGTTCAATGGTTCAATTTCCTTTCCTAACATTAGAAGGTAAACTCATCTTTACTTTCCACTTTTTATGAAGAAGCATTGTTTTCATGCTGCCACAGCTGTGACTTTCAGTGAGTAACCCACCCCCTGTGTGCCTTAGCTTCTAAATATGTAAAATCAGTGAGCTAGATTTAGGCAAGTCCTGGTCCTCATCAGTAAAAGCATTTCTATTTAACCTGTTGCCTGCTGCTTCAACTCCAAATATCTGGTTTTCCCTGTTCTCTTGCAAATTTGATGTCTTTCTGGTTTACTACTTCCTCAGACTCATATTGGAATAGTAATTAAGGGAATTAATTTAAAAGGCCTTGCACTTTTGGATTATAGATTACTCTTGGAACAAAATGTAAAATAAGATTATAAAAAGGGATAAACCTAAATGTTTACTTGTTGCCATTAGAGCACTGAAAAATCTATTTTCCTCAAAACCAAATGCTGGGACATGATTATATTTAAAGACTAACCGATGGCCTCAGACATTGGATTTGATGGATAATTACAGTAGCTACACTGCAAAAATCTTTACATAACCTTAAGAATTACCCCTAAAACCATGCCTAGATAAAACGTGCCTGGAATAGATTAGGTGCAATGCATATAAACACATATATACCACCTTCTAGTATAAAAATTTTCAAAAAACATGGAGAATACAATAATTTATAAAGAATTGCTGTTTATGTAAAGAACAAAACAAACTCAGAAAAACGTGATCAGGGTATTACTTCTCAGGGATAAGGCAACTAATGCCCTAGTATCTCAAAATCCTTTACAAAAGGAGATAGCTTAATAAATTCTAGCTCAGGGATTTTTGTTTGTGTTTTATGTATGTTACTTTTTTTTCTTCTTTTTCTTTTCATCTGCTTCCATTTTAAGCTTAACTTCTTCAGCTGTAAGGGCTCCCAGTTTCTTACTCTTCGCTTTCTTAACCTTTTCCTTGATGGCGGCCACATCAATTTTACTTTCAGGAGAAGCTAAATAAAAACAATACATGTAATTCTTTAGATTATACCAAATAAAACAAAGAATACATATATAAGACAATAATTTCAGAGTACTGTTACAATTGAAAGATCATGTTATAAGATATAAAACAAACACTTGCTTAAAGGAAAGTTAGAAATTTCTTCTAATGAGGAGAAAACAAAGTACTTTAGTGAAAATATACACGAAAATGGCATTATACTTTAACTTAACTATTTGAACCAATTACTGGATTCAACTATTAAAATTACATTTTTTCCCTTAAGATTCTTTTTTCCATATTTTGGAACTTGAGTATTCCTTAAAAAACTTAGTTTTCCGAATATTCAATTAATGACTAATAGTATTTCATTTAACAAGATTTTGGTAATAAAGACAATAATCTGAGAGTATCTGGAGGTCCTCCTAACAGAACCCAACCCCATGTATTGAACACAAAAAGTGTGAACAAAACAGAAAAGCAGTGAAAAAAAAAAACACAACTTTTTTCTTATTATTTAAAGAACAGCACTCAGGACATAACCACAAGATAAAATGTCATCAAACAACCCAGCAACTTGAGAGCAGACTTAAAGCCTCCACTAGAGTGGAATAGCTACACTTTAATCAGTAATAAACTGAGATTAAACTAGCTATTGAATACCTTCAGAGTACATAACTGACAGATTGGACAAACTAGAAAGTATAATGCTTATGATATTTTTAACTTTTATATAACCAAGGATCTGAATAGTAGACTACAATACTTTTAAAGCTGTTAACACTGATATAAATTAACTAGTACTGTTACATCTGGCTTTGACCAACAGGTCATGTGCAGTGCTGCTGGGTGACCTCCCTCCCCTCACTGTGCCACTGACCACTTTGGAGAGTTACCTTACAGAGGAGTACACGTGTTACTAGTGGAAAAGAAAATGCGAAAGAGGAGAAGACGGATCAAAATGAGGCTAGGAATGAGAAGAAAAGGCATCAGCGTGTTTTCTCTGAGTGTCTTTAAAAGCCCCTGAGTAAGAAAGATCGTCCTGCTATTTTGTTGGTGTCTTTTAGCCCAAGTGATGAGAAATCCACGTTAACCGTACAGGAGTCAAATTTTAAGCCACAGATCACACAAGTAAAGAAAGTACAACTTTTGATAAGCTTTTTTTAAAGGGCATGATAGCAGCGCTCAGGGATCTTACTGTTTTATTTTTACAGAAGATTCACTGCTCTGGTTTATATCTTTCACAACAGAGTCCTTCCTCAGCACAGAGGTCAGGAAGGGACTGTCAATCTGGGATACTCTTAAATAAGCATTAGTTGCTACTAAATTATAAATTATCTCAGTCACCACCGCTTTTCCCTAGGATTTGTGATTAATGAAATGCTAAGAGAATTGATGAAACGCATGGTTATTTCTTAACACTCAAAGAGCTTCAGACAAATCCACTATGGGTTTACTTTTCCTCTAACAGACTTACAGCATACCAAGAGTTGGAAAACAAGCATTTACCTTCCTTAGGTTTCACAACTGGTTTTTCTTTAGGTGGAATAAACGCTTTGTTTCTTTCCTCTTGTCTCCTACTAAGAGCTTCTGCTTGTTTAGCCTACATCATTAATAAAAAAAACTACATTAAAAAACGCTTGTGTAGTTAAATAAGAATTCAAGTATCTATAAACTTTGCAATTAATTAGTGTTGTAAGCTAGACATGGTCTTACCTTTATTGCTTCCATTTTCTGTCTCTTCTTTTGACTTGCCTTCAGAAAGTATTCACCAGTAGCCAATTCTTTATCAATCTGTTGAAATCAGTATTTACAATACATCATAAATAATGTAGATGAGAAGTCAATTCCTAAGAAATTCACAATGACCTTGAGGTAAAGACAGTGGGGTCAAAACTATGATTATAAAAATAGCAACATAAAAAGAAGGAAATGTCCTCTAAGCTGAGGGGAATATATATGCACAAAAGCATGTAGGTAGGAAAGTAGGTGATGTGTTCATGGAATACACAACAGACTGCTTGAGGTGGGGTGGAAGATCAATGATTCAGAAAAGTGTGAGAGGAAACTGGAAAGACAGTTTTGGGGAAGCATGAAGAAACACGAATGACAGGTAAGGGAAGCGGGATATGCTTTAGAAATGACTGAAGGTTCCTGAGAAGAGTGAAGAGAGCAAAGTAGCACTTTATGAAAGGTACAGAAGAAAGGAGAAGAGAGAAAAGGCTGTTTTTAAAAAAAGGTTGCAGCATACAAAATGAAAAGCAAGAATTGTCAGGATGTGGAGACTAATTAAGTACTAATTTGCAGTAGCAAATTCATTAAGTAGATAGTCAACATATAATTAATTGGTCTACCTAAGGCAATGTTCTATAATACTAAGCTCTCTACAATTACTAACTCACTTAATCCTCATTAACAATTCTTTGAGACAGGAATGATCATTATCCCTATTTTCTGTACAAAGAAACTGAGGCATGGATGGGTTAAATAAATTATGCCCATAATTACATAGCAAGTAAGTGACAGAAAGTCAAATGAGACATCGCTGATTCAAGAAGCTTACAGTCATAAAAAAAAACGATAAAACAACTACTTACAGTACAGGGCTATACAGAATATATCAGGTGTTACAGAAGCATGGTTTAGTAACTGGATCATTCGCTTTCCCCCAACTAACACTTTCCTTCTGGCTTCACTTTGTTTTCCAAAATAGACCTCAAGATCCAACACTTCCATTTTTACTATGATCATCATTCCTTTTTTACCTTTGACCTTTCATCAAACCTTCCTGGAAAACTACAAACACAGGGCTATGGGGAAAACAAGATATAGTACACAGAAAGAGATGGGTTTACATGCTAAGCACAAAGAACTCGTAAAAGGGAAGACTTTAACATACAGCCAAGGAAGGGAATAATGAAGCAAGACACCTCAGAAGACAGGTGACGACAGAATTCAAAGAACAGAAAAAGAAAGGATTGATGCAGATGGAAAAAAAAAATTGTGAGATAAGAGGAAGTTGAAAGAGTTCTTGCCTTGTAGCCTCAAATACTTCTAGGAGATGACATTGCATTTTATTTTACTGGAGTAGGATGGTGGCTAAAGAATTAAGAGGACACAGAGCTGCCAGAGAATACTGAAGACCTATCTGAGATTGGAAACGTGAATTTTTAACGGATGTAATCCAAAGATATGACTTTCTTCAGCTATGTTCAGTAGCCATGTTATGGGAAACAAGTCAAGTTTTAGGATTGATCCAAGTTTTAGTTTTGTTGGGCAGGTGTGATTGATAGAAGAAAAGGGAGTATGAAAGAAAACAGTGATGGGCAAGAGAGAAAAGGAAATTTTAGAAAGGGAATGATGCCAGAGGACAGCTGACAAAATTAGAGGCATTCCTGTCTTAAAAAAAGGATAGATATTAGACTTAAGATTTCAAATCCAGAGCAATCCTATAGTACATGGTCACATGAATGATGCTAAAGCAGAGTAGAAAGCACTGTGGACTAAATCGTTGAATTTTTTTTAACCATGGAACATTTATAGTGGCTACAGATACACAACTGACACCACCTACCTTGACGGAGTTTACACTCACAGTATGAAGCTTCCACTCCCCACCCCCATACAATTAGTTCAAAATAAGCCTATTCACACTTACCTTCAGTTTCTTATATCTCTACACAACCAAACGTACATACACAGAAATTCCACCCTCAAAGTTTCTGACAAAAATAGATTAAAATGGTTTCCCCCTCATGTAAAGAAATTCAACATTTAATACTGACCTGACTTTCTGGCTGTGGTGGTGGGAATGGTGTATACTCCTTCTTAACAGTTTTCTTCTTTGGTTCCTTGCGTTTATTCACATTTTTGTGCTTGAACTGTGGCAAAAATCTTTCCCAACTCTGTGATCTTAACTCAGAATCTTTCGCCAACTCTCGTTTAATCATTAAGGTCTTCAACCATGGCAATATATGAACAAAGTAAACTTTTAATTTAAAAAAATTTTTTTTTGATGTGGACCATTTTTAAAGTCTTTATTGAATTTGTTACAATATTGCTTCTGTTTTATGCTTTTTGGTTTTTTGGCCACGAGGCATGTGAGATCCTAGCTCCCCGACCAGGGATCGAACCTGCATCCCCTGCATTGGAAGGCAAAGTCTTAACCACTGGACTGCCAGGGAAGTCCCAAACATTTTTAATTTTAGCAGTCATATGTTTCACAACCTAAGACATTATCAACATTGTGCCTATAAATAATAAAATTAAAAGGAACAATTCTTAGTCTCTTCAGTAGGATTAAACCAATTCTGGAAACAAAAAATATATAATCTCAAACATGCATAATTAACCAAGCATCAGAAAACCGTTAGAAATTTAGACAGAATTATTAAAATGAACTGAGATGAAAATAAGACTAACTCAGTTTTTCAACCATTATTTCATTAAAACCTTTAAAATTCAACCTAACAATAGCAGGGAGAGTTCTTAATTAGTGATGTTTCCTACAAGCAGGAAGCTTTCAGTAGCACCCTGAAATATGACGGAAAGAAAAAAAGTTTCTCATGATCAACAAAACGAAATGTTTTCACACTTCCCCTACTCCATCTGAATTTTATAGACACTGAAACATCAGAGGATGCAAACTAGGCATCAGATGCAAGATGAGCTCTCTTTATCTTTAATGTCCCAATGTAACTCAAAATCGTTTTTTCACCCCAATCTAAGAGTGACTTTTCAACTTCATTAAATTCAAGGATTGTTTAACAAATATCCATCATAAAACAACTCATTATACCATGGTTACATTTCCAAGAACAATCAAGAACTTTATGCATACAGGGATATAACAGACCTCTCTCGAAGAGCCTATAATTTGAGTGTTAAATTCCAAAATAGGTTTTAATGCAATCTCAAATATTCCAGACTTTACTTATAGAAAAAGGCAGAATTCAGGACTTCCCCAGTGGTCCAGTGGTAAAGAATCCACCTTCCAATGCAGGGGACACGGGTTCGATCCCTGGTCAGGGAAGATCCCATATGCCACCGGGTGCCTCAACTAGAGAGCCCATGCGCCCTGGAGCTGGCAGCCACTAGATAGAAAACCCGCACGCCACAACCACAGAGAAGCCCGTGCGCTGCAACAAAGGATCCTGCGTGCTACAATGAAAGATCCTGTGTGCCGCAACGAAGACCCAACACAGCCAAACAAAAATCTTTTTAAATAAATTAATTAATTAAAAAAAGAAAAAGGCAGAATTGTAAAAGATCCCATCTTTAAATATAGTATGTGGGCTCAAACCCTAAGAAAACTGGATTGGTACCATCTACTACAAATCCTATGAAGCTTATTTTATTTGTATTGGAAGTGAATCACTACATTACACTGTCCCCTTCAATAGCTTTCAAACTTCCAAAGAAGTAACTATAGGACTGGGATAGAGTTGAGTGGGCTGAACTCTACCCCAATTTACCCAAAATAGCTCTGCTTTATCTGTTTTGTATATTAGGCTTTCATAAAAGATTTACTTTCAGGAAAGGTTTCTGTAGCTAAAAACAACTTTTTAGTAGTATACAGTGAACACTCACTTTAATGTTATAAATTGGATGAATATTCTTCATAGTGTCTAGGACTACTTTTCGAACCTGAAATTTGCAAAGAAAAATGAATCAGTCATGTATAAAGATTTTAGTGAACTACGCAGACGAGGATTAATATATCACAAAATAGCCTATGAACCAGGCAATGGCTACCAAATTGGATACTGTAGTCCCTTCAACTGTTCTGAGTGGCTTCTAGATCTTTCATAATAGTCAACCTCCCTTGGATACAATGAAGTCTCTCAACTTTACTGATAAAAAGCTATACACAGAATTAACACAACACTCTGGAGCTGTAAAATTTAGGGGGAAGAGGGCTGGATTTAGAGTTAGAATATATGCACTCAAACAGTGGGACTGCCACTTCATGTGACAAAGGCACTTAATTTTCCTATTCCAGCTTTTTCATTTGTAATATGGAAATAAAACTACCTTAAGGATCTGTCATAAGAAGTAAATAATATACTTAGACTCTACAAAACTGTGAAATATTCAAAATATTTAAGTTATTATTGCCCCATGAGAAAAAAGCAGATAACTTATGAGAAAGAGGTCCAATAGAATTAAGGTTAAAGGCCCTGGAAAGCAAGTAAGACCTCACTGCCAGATACAGATAACAAAAGCCTCAAAAGGAGTTAATAGAAACAGTATCTGCTCCACAGATTTTCTCATAACATCTGACAAGCTGAAGAAGATGTTCATAAAAACATTAACATTCAAAGAAAATATATCTTAAAGGAAGTTTTCTGAGCCTGACCTCTACTGGCTGAATACATTACTGCAAAGAACAAGATCTGTTCAATTCTCCAGTCATTAAAATGCATGTAGGGGCTTCCCTGGTGGCGCAGTGGTTGAGAGTCTGCCTGCCGATGCAGGGGCCACGGGTTCGTGCCCCGGTCCGGGAGGATCCCGCGTGCCGCGGAGCGGCTGGGCCCGTGAGCCATGGCCACTGAGCCTGCGCGTCCAGAGCCTGTGCTCCGCAACGGGAGAGGCCACAACAGTGAGAGACCCGCGTACCGCAAAAAAAAAAAAAAAATGCATGTAATTACTTCGTGTTTCTTATGTTTGCTACAGACTGAGACCTTAAATGCCCACTTAAAATTCGAGTGGAGGGAATAATGATGTGCAGACCTCCTAACTCAGAAACGGATCTCTCTTCAGTTACCAAAGGTTGGCCATAATATGTTAGGGTCCAGGAAATTACATGAATTCCCTCAAATTACATGAAGAATTTACTAATGGAAAATCAAACAAAGCATATTCTAAAATATATATATATAAAACAATATATTATGCAATGAACTATTATTTCATTTATTCTCTGTGGAAAATTAACTGAAGAGAATAAATAGTTCTCACCTCTTTTAAGCCACTAAAAGGTCCAATGGCTGAAACCGTGTTTCCCTGTACCATAATGTAACAGTTTGTTAAGAGTTCCAAGGCCTACATCAAAAGAGCAATAAGTTGAAGTTCAGTACACTTAAAAACTAACAAAAGAGGAAGACATACTTTTTCACTAATAAAAAGTACCTTCAACGTAGATCCTTTGGGACCAATAAGCCGTTGTCTTCTTTTTACAAATCTTTCTTTATTTCTTACTAAAGAACCTATTTTAATGATGTCACATGCAACATCATCCTGAAGAATTCGTACTGCCTTTTGGGAAAATAAAAAAGAAAACTCCATCAATATTCTTGACAAGTATATATCTTCTGCAAGCCAAGAAATTTAAGCACAAAATGACAGTTAAGCACAAAAATGAAAACTTTATGGTGCAGGAGGAGACGCAGTGTTATATGTTGTCTCTAATGTTGAGGCAAATAAAGCAAAGTCTCTGTAATTCTTAATTTACCTGTTCAAATGAAACACTCCTTGCTAACAGTTTTATTAGGTCTCGGGCCCTAATGATGATATATGGATCAAATGTCTTCTTTGTTGTACAGACAGTCATGCTGCCCTCGATCAGGTCCAGGGTTGCATTAACATGCTACAATACAAAAAGAGCAAACAAGCAGTTGTCTGAAAATGAATTCAATTTTAGATAATTACAGAGCCGATCCTAACCAAATTAATAATTTGTCTGCCATTAAGCTATCTCAAAATTCATTAACTCTCTCCTTGAAGAAGCTAGAAAGTTAATGTAAATAATTGATTACTTTTAGACTTCAAAGAATATAAAAAACTCAGGCAATTGAAAACATTTATAATTGGCTTTAGAATAATTTATACTTATTGGAATAAAGATTATCTCTAGTTTAAAAAATATATATCAATCAAAATGAGGCTACATTCTAAAATTAAGGTAAAAATGTAAAGCTATATAATTTCCCTACCTTGGCTGGATCCAGCTCTAATCTCTAATCTGCTCCCTAGAGTGAGAATGGACTTTCCCTTTCAAACTTTTTTCTAGCTGGTTTGTATTAGCTAAATACAAAGTAAAAACAAATTATCATAGGTTTAAAAATAAAAGCAGTGATTATGATTACTACAGTGATTAAAACTATGCATTAACTTTCAAATGGAAGAATCAGATTTCAACAAAGCAAATAAAAATGCTGTTTTCTAACTTGTGAGCATAATCTGAAGAATATTTCAATATAGTGAATGACGAACAATTAAACCTAAGGTTAGGTGTCTATAAGTTTACCAAAAAACCCCCAAAATTGAGTCTAATCTCCGATGTAGACAGCTGTAAAACACGCCTGCAGTTTGCTAAACCACCCTCATACCTAATGCACACAAATGACTCTAGAGCAGTGCCACAGCTGAGAAATACATTTTCTATCAATCTAGTGTACATACACACACAGGTGAACCAAAAGCTTCATTAAATGATACTTATACTTACCACATGTGATACATTGATGTATTTTTTTCTAAAGGCTCATTATATCCACTAAATTGACTTCTTGATTCACTAAGGGGTCTCAATCCAGTTTGAAAAATAAAATCAAATACACTGCTCTAGGGGCACGGCAGAGGAAAGTTAAACAATGCCAGGAGTATGCCTCGGCTCAAACTGTACAGGTTCGTGGCAACCATTATAGTAGCAGACATTCTGAAATTTGGAGTTCACAAGTGAGTTTCAGACCATCTGTGAATCCCCTAAATATTTAAAGGCATGTGAATTTTTCCAAGTAATCTATTATTCACAAAACTAAAAACAAATGAACTGTAAGGATAATTATCTAGTCTGTTTAAAATATCAAAGGAATCAAATTAACCAGCTATGGTAGCACCTTTAAAAAAAAATCCATCAGCACACATTCAGTTACTTAAAAGATATAAGCAAAAACAAAATCTCAAAGAAATACATAAGATATGCATACATGTTCACTCAAGGCTTTCTGTACCAACGGCCAGCACTCTTTCAAGTAAGCCTCTCTATATTTTGGAAACAAAGTTGCAAAACTGCTCTCCTCCAAGAGTCCTCTGGGATTGTCCTCTTTGGAAAAAGCTGGCTCCTTCCAACCATCAGGAACAGTGAGGAGTTCTGATTCATCTACAAAGGGGGAAAAATCTATACATCAGATTTAACTTCTTTTGGACACTTTTTGAACACTTGCATGTATACATTCACAAGCTTCCCAATACTCTCCTCGGATTTCCTTTTCCCCTGCTTTTTATATTATTCAACAGTCCAAGAACGTGCCTCTGTCATTATCACCAAAATACTGTATTAAAATTGTATATATTTCAGTCACCTCAGGAGACAAAGTTCCTTAAGGGCAGGGACTCTTCTTCGATCCACACTTATTGGCATACACCTGGTACACAGTCAACACTTACAAACTTCTACTGCACCACACTATCTTAAGAGTTGAAGATCCAAACACCATTTTGTTTACATTACTATTTTAAATATAAGTAACCTTTCAGACTCAATGAAGTGCAGCCTATGTGTATATATATACGTGCATGTGTGTATATATGTGTGTATATATGTGTGTGCATCAAAAGCTTGATCCCAGTGTACGCTTTCAGTTAATATTCACTAGTACAGGGTTTTGGGTTTTCCAAAGAGCTTTCACGTGCGTTATTTCTGTATACTCTCACAACTACAAAAGGTAGGAAGAACTGGTATTATTATTCCCATTTTATAAAAGATATTCAGTTCAAAAACTTTAAGTGACTTGTGTAAGGGAATATGAAGCTCAGTCTAGGTCTCCTCTCACTAGAACAAAATGCCTCCTAAGGGCTATAAATTATTTCCCATATCATTTATCAAAACTCCTGGTCCTGAATTTTAAGAACCTCTTAAATCCAACAGCTGTACTTTAATTCAGTACTACTCAAAGATATGATCCATAGGCCTGAAGCACCAGCATAAACTGAGAGTTTGTTAGAAATGCAGTTCTTGGGCTCCATCCAGACCTACTAAATGTGAATCTCTGGGATGAAGCCCAGGAATCTTTCTTAACAGTCTCATGAGGAGATTCCTATGCATACTAAAGTTTAAGAAGCAGGTCTTACAGTTCATGTTATCCACTCCAGTCAGGTAAACTTGCTTTCTGTTTCTTATACTCACATGCACTTTGTTACTTCTGGTTCAAATCACAGAGAATTAGCTAGTCTTTATTTATCGTTCACTTCTCAATACCCCCCCCAAAACCCTCAAATTCTACAATAGTGATTACTTAAAATGCATATCTGACCAAGATCCTACCCAATTTAAACACTTAAATGGTTATGAATTAAAAATAAACAAAGAAAAAAAAAACCCACTGGCTAAGGAAATCAACAGGAGTTTCACAATGGAGGAAGTACAAATAGCCCCAAAACATGTAAAGATGTGTAACCTCATTAGTAATCAGGAAAGTCTGATTTAAAAACACAATCAGATATGATTTCACACTTAACAAAATGACAGAAATGAAAAATTCAGGTAACAGCAAGTGTTAGTGCTCATCTACTGATATCGGGAGTGTAAAGCAGCACAACTCCTTTGGGAAGATTTAGCATTATTTGCACATGCCCTACCCTACAATTCAAGGATTCCAATCCCATGTAAGGTACATAACCAGAGAAACTCTAACATGTCAACAAGGAGGTATGTACACAGATATTTATACCATATTGTTTATAATAACAATGGGAGCAATAAAATGTCCAGCAACATTAAAATGAAAATATAGAGATTGCCTCATCCGCCAGAGGGCAGACAGCAGAAGCAAGAAGAACTACAATCCTGCAGCCTGTGGAACAAAAACCACATTCACAGAAAGACAGACAAGATGAAAAAGCAGAGGGCTATGTACCAGATGAAGGAACAAGATAAAACCCCAGAAAAACAACTAAATGAAGTGGAGATGGGCAACCTTCCAGAAAAAGAATTCAGGATAATGATAGTGAAGATGATCCAGGACCTCAGAAAAAGAATGGAGGCAAAGATCGAGAAGATGCAAGAAATGTTTAACATTTCTTGAAGAACAAACAAACAGAGATGAACAAAACAATAACTGAAATGAAAACTACACTAGAAGGAATCAATAGCAGAATAACTGAGGCCAGAACGGATAAGTGACCTGGAAGACAGAATGGTGGAGTTCACTGCTGTGGAACAGAATAAAGAAAAAAGAATGAAAAGAAATGAAGACAGCCTCAGAGACCTCTGGGACAACATTAAACGCAACAACATTCGCATTACAAGGGTCCCAGAAGGAGAAGAGGGAGAGAAAGGACCAAGAAAATATCTGAAGAGATTATGGTCGAAAACTTCCCTAACATGGGAAAGGAAATAGCCACCCAAGTCCAGGAAGTGCAGCGAGTCCCATACAGGATAAACCCAAGGAGAAACATGGCAAGACACATAGTAATCCGATTGGCAAAAATTAAAGACAAAGAAAAACTATTGAAAGCAGCAAGGGAAAAACGACAAATAACATACAAGGGAACTCCCATAAGGTTAACAGCTGATTTCTCAGCAGAAACTCTACAAGCCAGAAGGGAGTGGCATGATATACTTAAAGTGATGAAAGGGAAGAACCTACAACCAAGATTACTCTACCCGGCAAGGATCTCATTCAGATTCAACAGAGAAATCAAAAGCTTTACAGAAAAGGAAAAGCTAAGAGAATTCACCACCACCAAACCAGCTCTACAACAAATGCTAAAGGAACTTCTCCAAGTGGGAAACACAAGAGAAGAAAAGGACCTACAAAAATGAACCCAAAACAATTTAAAAAATGGTCATAGGAACATACATATCGATAATTACCTCAAACATGAATGGATTAAATGCTCCAACCAAAAGACAAAGGCTTGCTAAATGGATACAAAAACAAGACCCATATATATGCTGTCTACAAGAGACCCACTTCAGACCTAGGGACACATACAGGCTTAAAGTGAGGGGATGGAAAAAGATATTCCATGCAAATAGAAATCAAAACAAAGCTGGATTAGCAATACTCATATCAGATAAAATAGACTTTAAAATAAAGAATGTTACAAGAGGCAAGGAAGGACACTACATAACGATTGGAGGATCAATCCAAGAAGAAGATATAACAATTATAAATATATATACACCCAACACAGGAGCACCTCAATACATAAGGAAACTGCTAACAACTCTAAAATAGGAAATCGACAGTAACACAATACTAGTGGGGGACTTTTAACACCTCACTTACACCAATAGACAGATCATCCAAAATGAAAATAAATAAGGAAAGAGAAGCTTTAAATAACACAGCAGACCAGATAGATTTAATTGATACTTATAGGACATTCCATCCAAAAACAGCAGATTACACTTTCTTCTCAAGTGAGCACGGAACATTCTCCAGGATAGATCACATCTTGGGTCACAAATCAAGCCTCAGTAAATTTAAGAAACTGAAATCATATCAAGCATCTTTTCTGACCACAACGCTATGAGATTAGAAATGAATTACAGGGAAAAAAACGTAAAAAACACAAACACATGGAGGCTAAACAATACATTACTAAATAACCAAGAGATCACTGAAGAAATCAAAGAGGAAATCAAAAAATATCTACAGAAAAATGACAATGAAAACACGACGATCCAAAACCTACGGGATGTAGCAAAAGCAGCTCTAAGAGGGAAGTTTATAGCTATACAAGCTTACCTCAAGAAACAAGAAAAATCTCTAATAATCTAATGTTACACCTAAAGGAACTAGAGAAAGAAGAACAAACAAAACCCAAAGTTAGCAGAAGGAAAGAAATCATAAAGATCAGAGCAGAAATAAATGAAATAGAAACAAAGAAAACAATAGCAAAGATCAATAAAACTAAAAACTGGTTCTTTGAGAAGATAAACAAAATTGATAAACCATTAGCCAGACTCAACAAGAAAAAGAGGGAGAGGACTCAAATCAATAAAATTAGAAAGGAAAAACGAGAAGTTACAACAGACACCGCAGAAATGCAAGGCATCCTAAGAGACTACTACAAGCAACTCTATGCCAATAAAATGGACAACCTGGAAGAAATGGACAAATTCTTAGAAAGGTATAACCTTCCAAGACTGAACCACGAAGAAATAGAAAATATAAACAGACCAATCACAAGTAATGAAATTGAAACTGTGATTAAAAATCTTCCAACAAACAAAAGTCCAGGACCAAATGGCTTCATCACAGGTGAATTGTATCACACATTTAGAGAAGAGCTAACACTTATCCTTCTCAAACTCTTCCAAAAAACTGCAGAGGAAGGAACACTCCCAAACTCATTCTATGAGGCCATCATCACCCTGATACCAAAACCAGACAAAGATACTACAAAAAAAAAAAGAAAATTACAGACCAATATCAGTCATGAATATAGATGCAAAAATCCTCAACAAAATACTAGCAAACAGAATCCAACAACACATTAAAAGGATCATACACCATGATCAAGTGGGATTTATCCCAGGGATGCAAGGATTCTTCAATATATGCAACTCAATCAATGTGATACACCATATGAACAAACTGAAGAATTAAAAACCATATGATCATCTCAATAGATGCAGAAAAAGCTTTTGACAAAATTCAAAACCCATTTATGATAAAAACTCTCCAGAAAGTGGGCATAGAGGGAAACTACCTCAACATAATAAAGGCCATATACGACAAACCCACAGTAAACATCATTCTCAATGGTGAAAAACTGAAAGCATTTCCTCTAAGAGTGGGAAAAAGACAAGGATGTCCACTCTCACCACTATTATTCAACATAGTTTTGGAAGTCCCAGCCACAGCAATCAGAGAAGAAAAAGAAATAAAAGGAATACAAATTGGAAAAGAAGAAGTAAAACTGTCACTGTTTGCAGATGACATGATACTATACATAGAGAATCCTAAAAATGCCACCAGAAAACTACTAGAGCTAATCAATGAATTTGGTAAATTTGCAGGATACAAAATTTTTTTTCCTTGTTTTATTTTGACCCCATTTACTTTTTAAATTAAATTTTCATTTAAGATCATTGTAGATTCACATGAAGTTAAGAAATACAGAGGAGTACTGTATTGTTCACCCTGTTCTCCCCAATGGTAAAATCTCACATAACTATAGTACAGGATATTGACATTGACACAATCCTTTGATGTTATTCAGATATCACTAGTTTCATGCATGTAATCACCACCACAGTTATGACAAAAAGCAGTTTCACTGCTTTTTCACTGCAAGTACAAGCCATTGGTACTTGAAACAACTTGGATGTATCTTCAGAAAATACATCCAAGTTGTTGCAAGTACCAATGGCTTGTTCTGAAGACACATCCAAGTTGTTGCAAGTACACCTGAAGATACATCCAAGTTGTTGCAAGTACCAATGGCTTGTTCCTTTTTATTGCTGAGTAATATTCCATGGTATGGATGAACCAGTTTGTTTAACAATTTACCCACTGAAGGACATTTGGGTTGTTCTAGTTCTAGGCTATTACAAGTAAAGCTTCTGTGAACATTCACATACAGGTTGCTGTGTGAATATAAGTTTCATCTGTCTGGGATAAATGTCCAAGAATGCAATTGCTGGGTCATATGGTAATTGCACATTTAGTTTTATAGGAATTTGCCAAACGCTTTCCTAGAGTGGTTGTATCATTTTTAAGGTCCTATTAGCAATGTATGAATGATCCAGTTTCTCCACATATTCTCCAGCATTTGCTGTTGTCATTTTTTTTAAATTTTAGTCATTTCAATAGGTATGCAGTGATATCTCTTTGAAGCTTACATGTGCATTTCCCTAATAGCTAATGATGTCAAACATCTATTCATGTGTTTATTTGCCACCTGTACACATTCTTTTTTTTTCCACACACACACTCTGTATTTTATTTTTACAAGAGAAAAATAAACTGACACCAAGCATTGTAAATGGATGACCACAACAAAAGCAACAATGATTGCAATAACCAAACATGAAACACACTCATACTATGTCATAATATTGACATTCAGTCCAGTAATCCTCCACTGTAACAAAACAGGTCCTTTACTTTGCAGTGAAAATTGATTTGTATATTTTTTGCCTCTGAGTTCTTGTGGGATTTTTTTTTTATTCAAACAGAAAATTAATGCACAGAAATCTCTTGCATTCTTATACACTAATGATGGAAAATCTGAAAGAGAAATTAAAGAAACCCTCCCATTTATCACTGCAACAAAATGAATAAAATACCTAGGAATAAACGTACCAGGGAGACAAAAGACCTCTATGCAGAAAACTATAAGACACTGATGAAAGAAATTAAAGATGATACCAACAGATGAAGAGATATACCATGTTCTTGGATTGGAAAAATCAATATTGTGAAAATGACTATACTACCCAAAGCAATCTACAGATTCAATGCAATCCCTGTCAAATTACCAATGGCATTTTTTATGGAACTAGAACAACAAATCTTAAAATTTGTATGGAGACACAAAAGACCCCGAATAGCCAAAGCAGTCTTGAGGGAAAAAAACAGAGCTGGAGGAATCAGACTCCCTGACTTCAGACTATACTACAAAGCTACAGTAATCAAGACAATATGGTACTGGCACAAATACAGAAACATAGATCAATGGAACAAGATAGAAAGCTCAGAATTAAACCCACACACCTATGGTCAACTAATCTATGACAAAGGAGGCAAGGATATAAAATGGAAAAAAGACAGTCTCTTTAATAAATGGTGCTGGGAAAACTGGACAGCTACATGTAAAAGAAATTGGAACACTCCCTAACACCATACACAAAAGTAAACTCAAAATGGATTAGAGACCTAAATGTAAGACTGGACACTACAAAACTCTTAGAGGAAAACAAAGAAAGAACACTCCTTGACATAAATCACAGCAAGATCTTTTTTGATCCACCTCCTAGAGTAATGGAAATAAAAACAAAAATAAATGGGACCTAATGAAACTTCAAAGCTTTTGCACAGCAAAGGAAACCATAAACAAGATGAAAAGACAACCCCCAGAATGGGAGAAAATATTTACAAATGAATCAACGGACAAAGGATTAATCTCCAAAATATATAAAGAGCTCATGCAGCTCAATATTAAAGAAAGAAACAACCCAATTCAAAAATGGGCAGAATACCTAAATAGACCTTTCTCCAAAGACATACAGATGGCCAAGAAGCACATGAAAAGCTGCTCAACATCACTAATTATTAGAGAAATGCAAATCAAAACTACAATGAGGTATCACCTCACACCAGTTAGAATGGGCATCATCAGAAAATCTACAAACAACAAATGCTGGAGAGGATGTGGAGAAAAGAGAACCCTCTTGCACTGTTGGTGGGAATGTAAATTGATAGAGTCACTATGGAGAACAGTATGGAGGTTCCTTAAAAAACTAAAAATAGAATTACCATATGATCCAGCAATTCCACTACTGGGCATATACCCAGAGAAAACCATAATTCAAAAAGATGCATGCACCCCAATGTTCACTGCAGCACTATTTACAATAGCCAGGTCGTGGAAGCAACCAAAATGCCCATCGACAGACAAATGGATAAAGAAGTTGTGGTACATATATTCAATGGGATATTACTCAGCCATAAAAAGGAACAAAATTGGGTCATTTGTTGAGACGTGGATGGATCTAGAGACTATCATACAGAGTAAGTCAGAAAGAGAAAAACAAATGTCGTATATTAACGCATGTATGTGGAACCTAGAAAAATGGTACAGATGAACTGGTTTGCAGGGCAGAAGTTGAGACACAGATGTAGAGAACAAACGTATGGACACCAAGGGGGGAAAGCCGCGGGGGGTGGGGATGGTGGTGTGATGAACTGGGCAATTGGGATTGACATGTATACACTGATGTGTATAAAGCTGATTACTAATAAGAACCTGCTGTATAAAAAATTAAAATTAAATTTAAAAAAACCGAATACTAAACTTACTTTGGGTTATTTGTATGGAAATGTGTTAATATAAATGTTTCAGACATTACATGAAATTCCTAAAATCTTATATGTTCTGGTATAATGTTATAGGTCATAATTCTAGTTATTATTTTAAAATGTATACCTCAGAAATAACTAAATTCCCCTGTCAATTGCATTATTATGAACTTTCATCAAATCTTTAACCGGGGTCATTTTTAAGTCTTTTGTCATTTACAGACAGTTCTGGGTGTACTCTGATGCTTTTGCAAAAATGTTCCTATAAAAGGGTTTCATCTTCAAGGAATTCATGGAAAAGACTCTGACAAGTACAGGTTTCTGGTAACTGACTATACTGCTGAACTGAAGGAATAAGCATTTTCAGAACTCTAATAGAAAACTGATGAATTCATAAAAGTGATAACAAAGATCAAGATGAAAAAAAATTAATTACATGGGACCGAGTGAACTGATGAGGATGATTATAAATTTTGTGACTTTGTTTGAAGAAGAAAAAAGAGACTGTAAAACGTTGTTGTTTAAATTATATTGCTTTTGTGGATTTAAAGTGGGTTTATAATTGTATATTATAATATATTTAGTATAAAAATAGAATGTTTAAAAAAAAAAAAGACACATGCACCCCAATGTTCATTGCAGCACTATTTACAATAGCCAGGTCATGGAAGCAACCAAAATGCCCATCGACAGATGAATGGATAAAGATGTGGTACATATATACAATGGAATATTACTCAGCCATAAAAAGGAATGAAATTGGGTCATTTGTTGAGACGTGGATGGATCTAGAGACTGTCATACAGAGTGAAGTAAGTCAGAAAGAGAAAAACAAATATCGTATATTAACGCATATATGTGGAATCCAGAAAAATGGTATAGATGATCTTATTTGCAAAGCAAAAATAGAGACACAGATGTAGAGGACAAGCGTATGGACACCAATGGGGGAAAGTGGCGAGGGGTGGGGGTGGGTGTGTGATAGAAAAAGAAAATGAAAACATAAATTAGCCTGTATTCATACAAGGGAACATCATACAGTAGGGAAAAGAATAAATCACAGCTACAAGTGTTGCCCTGATTGAATAATAACAACAAAGTTTAGCCTAAGAAGCAAGACACAGAAGAATATCTACAATCCTTTCTCATTCATATAAAATTCAAAAACTGACGAAATTAAAACATTTTGTGCATAGGTGGTCAAGATTATGAAGAAAGGAAACAGAATAATCAACACGATTCAGAATGGTTACTTTAGGGCATGTAGGGGGCTTTGGGGGAATGGTAATGCTCTATTCTACTTAATGTGAGTGTGCTCCTTTTCACCTGTTGGTTTTATTCCTTAAGCTGCATATATACTGTCCTCTCTGCCATACACTTAATTAAAACAACAACGAATCACGTTTAATATCTCCCTTATGCCCATAGAATGAGAGTTCAAGGTTTTTAACACTTCCAGTAAGTCTGGTTGAGCAGGCCCCGGGCTATTTCTCTGGCCTCTCTTTCTGTCAATCATACAGAAGTTAATGGAGAAAACAAGATTGCAAAGCAAGAGAGCAATTAACGCAGTTGAAAGAACAGGAATTGTGTTGGCAATACTTCAGCAACCCGATAAACAAGAACAATAATAAACGTTCCAAAATTTCTTCACTGGCTGACAAACTAGCACTAAAAACACGCCTAGTATCTCCTTCTATCACTATGTCTGTCTCAGTCCTTCATTATCAATCACTCGTTCACTCATATGCATAACGACCTCCTACTCCCACCTCATCCCACCCCTCACTCTGCCAACGATTTCCAGACACCGCCGCGAGTTTAAGGTCCCGAAGCGCCTTCCTCATTCTTTTACAGAAGACGCATCCAGCAAGACCCCTACTTTGGGGGCTTCCAGCAAAAGCAATTAGTTAGGAACACGCGCCGGCGCCATAGAGGCCAGTCGTTCCTGCGAGTCCGGCCAACAACCCCAACCTTCAGCAATTACAGGTACTTAACTTCAAGGCGGCGTTACACGTTCCCAGCCAGCGAAAGGAAAAAACCCCAACTCAAAGCCCCCAAACCCCAGTCTTTGGTTTTCAAACAACCTCACCTCGGCTCTCCGGCTTCGGCTTCTGGCTACGAAATTCACTTTTCCTAGACGCTGTAGCTTGCCCGCCCGGCTTGGAGGACGCCATCTTCAAACTGCTTCCGGTGCTACCGGAAGTGAACCCTTCCTTAAATCCTACCGGCTAAAATCCCCGTGCTCAAAGTGAGTTCCGCAAAACTCAGACGAGATCTGCGCAGTCTCCGTGTGTGCTTAAGCTAGAGCCCGCGTATTTGCATACACTACTACGCTTCTCCCGCGGAGCCAATGGCGAGCCGGAGACTTCTCTTCCCGGACGCTGCAACTACGGAGTTTCAAAGCATGCTGGGAATTGTAGTTTAGCACTGGGGGTGAGTCGGAGACGGTTTTACCTATCATTTTCTCTTGGCCTCAGGGTCTAACGCGGAACGCATTTAGCCTCAGTGCAACCTGAATCGTACTGATATCACTCGTTCACTCATTCGATAAATATTTATATGATCGACCAATATGTGCTAGGCGTTGGGAAGTGGTACAGATATGAGAATATACGGTCCATGATGGCAAGAAGCGACAGTAATAACTACCATTTATTGTGAGACTACTTTGTGCCGGGCACTTTATTTGCATTATTTCTAATCCTTAAAACAAAAACAAAGTTAAAACCTCTCTAAGGTTGATTTTTTTTTGGAAAGTAAGCTTTCAAAGTCATTGCTTCTGATGGTTACTTTCTTGGATCGTGGCATTTCTCTAAGCCAGACGTGTAGTAACTAAGCGACCCTTCTGAAGTTTTTCACCTAGCCTAACATTTCCCCAAATGACTAACTCCTGTGTATCCCAACACTGCATATATAGCTGACGTCAAGATGTGAGGTTCATCTCTACTACAAATCTTTATATTTCTCGTAACCTAAAAGTTCTTACACACGATAAAGGTAAGACTTCTTTTGATGAATGGTCTTATTGCTTGCCGTTTTAAAATTTTTCTGCAGCACAAATAGGGAAAGTGTTTGATAGGTTGAATTTCTTGCATTAGTGAAATGGGGAACGTTTATCTGAAAATCACCCTCTTGTGTCTTCTATAAAAGATTTTCTTTTATAAGATACATGAATAAAATAAACAATTACTTAGGGACAGAAAATCACAAGACACATAATTATGTAAAGGTTTTTGCTTTTATCCTGTGTGTCTTCTAAATGACAGGCAGTGATTTCATCCCTATATTCTTAGCAATTTGCTAAAATTAAAAAAAAATTTTTTTAAAAAGGACAAATCCCTAAAACCTAAAATAGAACAAATAACAGCAGGTGAAAGTTATAAAGTGAGAAGCAACAGCTTCAGTGTTCCCAGAAACCCTATGAGGCAGGTTTTTGGTATCCTTATTTTAAGGAACTCAGTCACTAGTAAGTGGAGAGCTAGACTTCAGGTCCAAGCAGTTTGACCTTTAATAGCTCCAGAAAGGCTACTATACCAAAAGGATTAGTTGTCGCAAATATGTTAGCAGGAGGGCTCGGTTTTCTGCCTCATAGCTTTTGGACTTGAGCTGCAGTATCAACTCCCCTGGGTCTCCAGCCTGCTGGCCCACCCTGCCAAAAGCCCACATTTTGGACTGTCCATGCCTCCATAATCACCTAAGTAATTCTATATTCTGTGTCTCTGGAGAACCCTGACAAATATAGAAGTTTATAGTAGAGCAAATCCAAATGGCTGATGAACATGACACTCTACCTCACTGTCAGAAAAGCCCAGAGACATAACAATAAAATATCACTTCTCACCCACTACATTGGTAAAAAACACATACCTATATATATAAAATATTTTTTAAATGATAATCTGCTGAAGGAAAGAGGACTCTCATATACTGTTGGTAGAAAGGTAAACTGTTACTGCCTTTTTGCAAAGCAACTATCAATATAAAGTATACAGGTAATGTTCCACAGTAATTCCACTCCTGGGAAACTGTCAACTAGAAATAAAGCACCATTCCATTAGGATGTATGTACAATGGTGTTGATTACTGCCTTGTATAGAACTAGTTCTGTGAAAGGTACTTTGGAGCCATACTGACTAGTTTGCCATCTACTAGCTATACAGCCTTGGGAAAGTTTCTTATCCACTCCTGTTCAGTTTCCTGCAATGGAGAGAATAACATTAATTCAGTGACTTTATACACGTAAAGTGATTACAAAAAAATGCTTTGCATGTGGTACACACTCAGTAGGTGTTAGCTATTATTTCTTTACTGTGGCAAAAAAGTAAAATCATCTTGACTATCAGTTAGGGATATAGTTAAATAAATTGGTGTTGCCTTCATAACTGTGAGATATTATGTAGCCATTCATAAGAATTAATTAAATCTATATGGAGAGATTACCTAGAGGCATTGAGGGATAAAAGCCAGATACAGAAAGATGGGATAATTATATATAGAGAGAATAATTATAATAATTATATATACATGTATATAATTATCCCACTTTTATGAAGCAAACCATTCATTCATTTAACAAATATTTATTGAGCATCTATAATGCCGCAGACACTGTTTTAAATACTTGGTTCTGTTCTATGTTCTGGACATAATAATAATTATGTGTGTGTATGTGATTATACAATGAACAAAGATTTGGAAGGATACACATTAAGCTTTCAAGGCTACCTTAAGGATGAAGGTGATTAGAAAAGAAAAAGGAACTAGGCAAAAAGACTAAAAAAACTAGACGTCCATGATAAAACAGGAGGCATATGAATCTATTTATGTAAAACTGTCCATATGTGTGTGTGCTCCTGTGTGCTCATAAGGAAGTCTATGAAAAAACGGTCACCAAAATGTTGACTATGTTACCTCTCCATATAGAGACATTTCAAAGGATGGCAATTTAAATAGCAGTACAATGTAAATCAGTCACAATTTACATCATTTTATTTTAACTTCCTTGGAAATCTGAATATAAATATGTACTCAGATCTGCAAGGTTATTTCCAGAAATTGCACAAACAACACTAAAAGGGGAAAGCAAAATCGCTGCCTCTAGAGTTTCTTGGCACAAATCAGGCTAGGAAGGTCTCTCCGGCAGGCAGACCCATTTTGGTTTTGACTTCTCCCCTCCTTGGACTGTTAAGCAACCTAGACCCACATACAGCTATCTTCCTATAGATGATACCTTTCACCAGTTCTTACCCTGCTTATTCATTTTCCCATGAAAAGCAAATTGGCTTCACAACTCTCCTTTGGAATTAGAGACCTTAATTCCCACAAAATTAACCCAGAGGGTAATGGGCAGAGAAGTCAGGATGTGTGGCTTAATGTCAGGGGTGTGCATTTATTTCTTACTTTAAAAAGCAAAAAAAAGTAGGCAAATAAGTGTGATTTGTTTTCCATTTAACATTTCTATACTCACTTATCAGAGACAAAAATATTTTTTCACAGTAATCTATTGTGGGGTGGTGTTTTTTTTTGCTAATTTTTAAAAAATAAGCAATCAAGAAAGGGTTTCTAAAATACAAAGCTTTGACACATTTTTATTTTCTAACATGGATAAGCTGCTTTCTATTCCAGTCAACCTCACAGACAGGTTTAAAATCTTCAATCAACATTTATCCATCAACATGAAAAACAATAGTTTAATAACTGTGGCTGTAAAATAAGGCCTCTTGTAACTCCAAGTGATTGCATATTAAAAAGGGACCTCATGATAACAGTTGAAAAGAAAAAAACACAGTAAAGCAGCCCGGCTGTAAACTAATCATGTTATTACCCTATCTTTTAAAAAGTAATGTCAATAAAAGTGAAGTATTCTGCATGAAAACCTAGGAAACCTGGGAATCCAGGAGAGAGACCAAATTAGAGAAACATATTCATCCAGTCTTGGAATGTTTTCTGCTGTGCAGCAGAATGTTTCATGTGTCAGGGTGCTGGGAAATATTTTCAGGATTTCCACCTCTTCCTGCAAGGCCATGTTTAGCAAACTCTCTGCATAAGGAGTTGTGGTGTATTGCCTGGGCTGCTAACCAGCTGTTGCATCTTGAGTAGGCACTCACTCAACCTCTGTTTCTTCCGTTGTGAAATGAAGGAGTTGAGTTAGATTACTGTTTCTCAAACCTTAGCCAACATCAGAATCACATGGAGGGGTGACCCCACTCCAAGTTTATAGTTCACCAGGTCCAAGAATTTGCAGCCCTGACAACAATTACACAACCCCCAAATGTCAATAAGGCTAAGGTTGAAACACTCGGGTCTACAGGTGTTCTTAATTTCTATGATTCTACCTCAAAGGGCCAGTTAGGGTTTTATGCTCCTAATCAGGCACACAATGAAAACCAAGTTATTTTCCACTCTTTTTACCTACCTAGGGCAGAGCTTGCCTGGTGTCAAAAGCCAGAGTCTCCAGATGGCTGTTCATTACTATGCTGGGATCCTCCATAGACAATCCTGCTCCATTTCCCTCAACTCTGCCCCTGTCCTTCTGGGATTCTGTTGTCTTATTACCCAAATGAACAATGGGACTTGTACATACAGTAGATGCTTGGGGTCTAAACCACTCATTACTGCTTGAGTATTAGTCTCTCCAGGCCCCAGCCCCACAAAACATCAATATTTCACTGGGAATCCAATCTAGCCTCTCCAACTGTTTCCAGGGCAATCTTCCTTCTTTCTCTTCCAGATTGTTCTTGTTGATAAGAACAGCTTTTGATTTAATGTTCAGTTATAATATTCTCCCTAAAGGAAAGCTGGAACACATTTTATGATATGAGGTTCCACCATAGCAACAGAAGGCTTTTTAATGCATGCATGAATATTCAAGATCTAATCAGTAGCATGTGAATGAATTGATACTGCTGAGAATTATTATTCTATGCAGATAGAACAAGCAAACTACAATCTTTTATTTGTTTACATGACACTGGGGGGATATTTGAACTTTTCTAGGATGCAATTTCTAGTCATTTGTTAAATCTATATGCCTCTTCCATCCTTCAGATAGTGGAAAGTACAGATGGCCCACAATGAAATGAACTTTTAGATGAAGTATTTTAAACATTTAATGGGTTTTTATTTAAACAGGTAATTTCATGGTGTTAATAAGATGGTGACATTGCTTCTTCATTCTTTCAAATTCTCTAATTAAAAAGTC